AGCGACGGGCATGAAAAGAAATGCAGCGGATTGGCCATGCCGGCGGAGTTTATTACGCTGTTTATTAACAGCATCGTGGTGAGGGTCACCGAAGCCAATATGATGGGGTGCTGAAACTCGGCACGTTCGAGCGCGACTTCCTGTACGTGAACAATGTTATCGGATGTCAAAAGAAGTTAAAATAAAATTTAAAAAATATTAGGGAATTTGTTTTAACTTAAGAGAAAATTAAAATATAAATATTGTTTTTGAAAAATCAACACTGGTTGACTTGATTCAGAAATAAGTACTAATATTTTTAAAAGGAACGTGCAGGTTTAAATATACGCGCAGTACGTGGAAAACCTGCCGCATGAAAAAAAATGCCCATAAAATGGTGGTGCTGAAGCTGGTGGGGCTGAGGCATGTCAGAGCGCAATTTCCGGTGCCGCGCCAGAAATGACACCATTTCAAGAAGTTAATTAATTTCCTTGAAAGCCTAATTAAAAGAATTATTTTAAATTAAGGGAAAATTAAAGTAGCGCAAACTGAATAACAAATTCCGCACCGGTAGACTTTCCCGGAAATTATTACCATCTTTTTTTAAAGGATTCGAGATGTTTGCTATCACGTTTACAGCATGCTAATTACCATGGTAAATACCGCTGTTTGAAAATATGAAAAACGTTACTGGCAAAAAAATGACGATGATCGAAAACGATTTTATAAAAATGTAATGCTGATAAATGTATGATGTCAGAAATTTATCACAATTCTTTCCAACTGTTCGACAGTTAATTGCTGCTGGTTTTGTTTGTTTCGCACAGCTGCAGGAGTTTCGTAATGGGTGGTGCCTATACACTACGCCTTGCCCATTAAACGGAGTATTTCTCAAACCGCAACATAGTTTTGTCCGTGGATAAACCGAATAAACGAAAAATGTAGATATTCTTGTGATAATAATGGCATGGTAGACAAATTCTGGGAAATAGAGTGTTGTTGGCCTGCAGATTCATCAGTCAGAAGCAGTTGATGGGCGACTCGCAGTCGCACTACATTGCGCAGGTGGTCAGGCAGATCTAAATTAGAGTCCGCAAACCACTACTCTACGATTTCCATAACGAAACGAAAATTTTTCAGCGTTTTTAGATAATTTAGCGGAACTTAACTGTAATGAAACTTTGAAGTAAAACAGCGGAGCTTAGCCGCTTTTCCATACCAATTAGCGAAACTTCGCGGAAACGGAAATTTTTTTCATTTGTTAAAGGCAGCTGGGTGAAAATTTCCATAGTAAGAAATATATGTTATAAAAGCTGTTTTTAATTAATATAAGTTATACAAAACTGTCCGCCGACGCACCTATATGCAGGCAGAATTTGAAGAAGCAGCCACATTTCGCGCGAAGCTGACGGGTAAATTTTTGTCAGTGTGACTTTAATAATACAAGTTGACAGCAGCGAGCTCGCAGGCTGACTAAACAGGAAGTACGACAAGTGATAAACACGCAGTAACAAAGTTGCTAAGTAACCTTCGCGAACATTAGCGGACCGCTACGCTTACTGTCGTTACGCTTCGCCATGTTAGCGGTTTACGGACTCTAATCTACATGCTGGTCTTCGGACTGGACATTCTGGGCAATCCCTTCTGGCTGCTGCGCGGCGACGGCGTGAAGGATCTCTACTCTACGAGCCGTATCTCGGCTTCGTCGAGGGCCCGGAGGACTTCATGATCATGGTCGGGCTGACCTCGGGCGTGCGGAACTTTATCGTCAGCACCGTCGGCAGTGCTATGGGTACCGGTAAGCAGCGTTAAGACAACTGCCCATCGAATTTTGGATCAGTACGAATATCATATGAATTTTATTTGCTGAATAAAATAGAAAATAGAATAAGTTAATAATGTTTTTTTGCTGTTCAAAGTATAACTGATTGAAAATGTTGGCTGAAGGTAAATAATGCAATTTTAAATAAAGGAAACCGTTACAGGCACCCCCTAAAACCCCTGTTTATTATAGCCACCCCTTTTCACACCCTGTTTATTATAGGCACCCATTTTCGAATAATATCGTACATAATACTATTATCGTCGCGGGTCATATAGTAGTGACGGGCCGGCCCGGCCCGTGACTACTATATGACCCGAGACGTTCAAACGTCTGTTTGAGGGAATCGTTGATCACCATTTAAATAAATTTACATGTGTAAGATCCTAACGCTTTCCTGAATATGGTGCTGTCTAACACCGAAACACTGACAAGCTCCGGTGTCGCCGCATTTCCAACTGCAGCTCTCCTTGATGTAGTATCGCCCACGAACACCGTATTCACAAAAGCCGCGGCTCAAAATGAAAAGTCTTACAAGCTGAAAAATCACGAAGTGATAACGGTTTGGAAGGGAGCCAATCAATGAGCTGGCAAAAGATGACCTTTTGGTCACAGTAAAAAAGGGCGATACTAATTCTCTTTAGGCTGGCTGCTTTGCCGAATCGTACTATTATCGGCTGGAAAGCCTGATGTACTTAACTCGACGCCAGAGAAACATTAATGTAAAAAGTTACTGAAAAAAATAAATTATTATTTGAATAAAGCTGCATTTTTACCTGAGAACACTGAATCTGTTATATATCATATTAAGCTAAAAAGGGTGCCTATAATAAACGGGGTGCGAAAAGGGGTGCCTATAATATACGGGGGTTTTTGGGGGTGCCTATAAGGGTACCCTTAAATAAAACCACAATTTTTACAACGAATAATTTACGAAAAATTAAGAAATTTTATACACAAAGTATTTATGTGCGTTAATATGCAAAAATTTAAAGAAAATTTGACCAAAACACGCTTCCAGTCTTTTTTCTGTCTTGAAGTGTGCGCATAATTATGGTACTTTCTGCGCCGTTACGTACAACTGCTTTATAAACATTGGTCTCGAGCGGTTCTCCGGCAGCATTTCTACAATTTGCTGACACTTGTGGAAACTGTTAAAAAGACACTTCCAGATATTGCTGCAGCTTTGCCGTTACGCAGCACACCGTTGTTTTTACCACGAACCAGAATAAAAATGGAATGTGTTGGGCGCAAGAGATATCAGAAAATTGCTATTTTCGGTTCTGCCAAAGACTTATAATATGACCGGAACATGCCGACGATGTCAGAATGTTCAGGTTACATTATAAATCTGCAGTCAAGACGGCAACCGATTAACTTTGTTAGACTCCTGCATGAAATCGAGAGCCAGGCAGCGATGTATGCGTTAAATAATTATCGATCTCTGTATGCGCAGTAGTGATCAAACGTTCCATATATATGGAGTCCCAGCGTACTGTAAGCAGAACACAATCAAAAACAATCAGTGAATTTATGTACAAGTGCCCTTGTGCTTTTTTTACCATTAGGACTAATTATAATTTTCATACAGCTTAACAGTCTCGCAGTATTTGGAAGATTACGAGATTAAAGCATTTAATACATGATACGAAGTGCCGTACTCTATGTACTTGTTACATTAATAATTAATTCATTATTTTTCATCTGTAGACTGTCGGTACACGCTTTCGTCTCGCATGTTCTTTGCGTAACAGAGCGGCTCTTGTAATCATATCATCACTTACGGCGCAGGAAATTGGTGTTCGCGACACAATTCACAATTGCAATTGTGTGGGTAAAGAAATGTATACCATAATCGCTGCGCTGATTAGATTAGGAAGCTTGTTGACTGTAGCTTCGCACACACTTTTGCTCGTTTCCGCAACGGAGCCGATCTGCATATAACATAGCAGGGAAACTGCTAGCGACAGCATTTCTAGTTAGTAGTAACCATGAGTCGCGGCCCACCCAACGCAACGCATGCACGGCACGTATCTCTGCTTTGAACTTTCTTCGACCACTGGTATTTGTACCGTGCTCCAACGGCACCTGGACCAAGCAGCGCAGCATTTCGGCATTCCCCATCCAGCAATACTACAGTCAGTTGATCTGCCGTGTTGATGGATGGGGTATGAAGAAATGCGAATGATTTTGATTTGACCGGGCCGAACCAGCTACGTTTGTTGCTACTTTGCTTGCTGCGGTTAGGTGGCGCATCTGTTTACCTATCTACTGTCGGGACAACAAGCCTATCCGATGGAGAGGCCAGCAAGCTTCAGCTCCGCTGTTTATTATTCAGACATAAGGATAATGTTTTCGTTTGTTTTCGTATATTTTCTTATGCTTTCTCATGTCGTTTTCTAACTGATGGGTTGGGGTAGTTGTTCGGGAAAGCTATCCGAAATTGACGTGGTCGTATTTAGTTATTTTATGAAAATTCTTGGGTCTAGACTCTAGACTGCTTTTGCTGACCCGCATAAAATTTTCGCATTGGCAATTTACGTTGGGAAGCATTGTGCGCTGAACCGATGCCAGACTTCCGCCAAGGCCCATTGTCGGTAAAATTGTTAAAAACATTATCCATTTCTATGCGTGGCCGATTGGCACAATGTTAATTGAGCTTTATCTGCCTACACGGACAAGTGTGCGATGAACGATTTTAAACTGGTAAAAAGGTAAAGAAATCAAAGTACAGTGTACAAGACTACATGTGATAACACACCATCGCTTCCGTGTGGAACTGTGGATGATGCGATCGGTAGTATACTGCTTCACTCATTTCCAGCAGGCAGAAGTGGGTTCTACTTTATTACTTACGCTGACATGTGCAGCTCGTTAGCCAAAATCGGCAAAATGTAATGTGCGGGCGTGCGTGCGTGCATTCTTATCCCACCATTCAAAAATATAATAAATTTTCTGGTTTCTTAGGAATTTATGGATATTATAAAAGTGTGACACTATGAAACAACTATATGACTGCGTTTCGTAGTGCCGGTGAGCAGATAACTCAAACTTTTATACGTATACTAAACAGAATGTCCTGTCATGCATGTCATAACAGCAGAAAATTCGTGCATTTGGGCGACGCATCATCCAAGTTCGCCTGCATTTCGCCATTCCCCAGCCTGCGTGGTGCACTCGACTGACTGCATTTTACAGGTGGGGTATGAAAAGATTGTGGGTTTTGGTAGAGATTGCAGCGCGATAGCGATAATACTGGATTCCCAGTTATTTGGTATTTCCGGTTCATGCAGCAGGATCTCGGCAGTTCCCGGACAGTCACCTTTCTTCTGTAAGTCAATGTTTATGAGACTATATCATGTAACAAATCGCAGTCCAGAACAACGTTCGAAATCTTTTTATTTCTTCTCGAAGCGTATGTCTTGCGACACACATTCTCGAAGATCAATTAGTCCAGCACATTTGAGAATAATTATTAGCAATATGGAGAAATATTAGGCTTTATTACTTAGCAAAATGGGGCTTATTCATTGTAGTACTCGTACAAATATGGTGTGTTACGCGATATCGCATTCCCCGCTGTACAGATATGGTTCAGCACGAGGTATTTCATGCAGCTTCCGTACCTACATACGTTTAACTGTCTTGTACACAAGCCGCTTTCGGTGTGATGGTTTGACTCAGCCAAAAGAACGGAAAAAACTTCATAACAAAAATGTGTTCTACCACGTAAACTTATACCTGCTTAACAAGAGAAAATATTTGTTATAACACACTGAGTCACTGCTAGTTGAATGCAGAAATAAATTAACAATATTTCGCGGTCATGGCACGTTAAACCAGGATACAACAGCGGCAACTGTAAGCTTAGAAAGGGTGGACACATCCACCTCTCTGAGATCAACATCCGTCCAACTGCGCTCCCTGCCATCCGGTCGGAAGCCACTATACCTACAATATATGCAAATTCAAGTTTCAGGTTTCTTTAAAACCTCATATATAAATCTTTCAGCAACCTACAGTTGAAACAAGCGTCGGATAAAATGCCACTGGCTGGGGTATTCCAGGTGGTTCACCCATCGCTGATGAATGGAGCGCACGTCATTGTACACTGTTGCATCAACCGGAGGATAGTACTTCTCCGCCGCTAGTAAAAACTTTTGGAGGATCCCGGCATCACCATCATCGGCTAGCAGCGTTAGATGCCGGATCGTAGTTGGAACCATTCGCTTATCTGACATCCATTCATAACCTGCTGCCTTCCATGGAAATGCTAACAACCCACCGTAAACCATGTAAGGAATATTCAGGCTAATATTGTGCACTGTGTAATTCCGCAGAATCAGATGCCAGCAAACCTTGACGAGCTTTGGTAAATTCTGACATGTCCAAGGACGGTCTCCGTTATAGACCTGAGGTTTCGACAATTCGTAAGAATCTTTAAAGTTAGTAATACCATTTCGATTGAAGCCATCTTTAATGACGATATACTGCAGTTGAATCTGCATGACGGTCAGCAGTGTTTCCAACACTTTCGTGACGACAGATATGGCAAAGTCTGTGTACTGATGGTCGCCGATCACAGTAACGCTTCTGGTTGCGTCGGTTATGGCCTTTTTCACGGCCCAGGTAAATTTATACGTAATGATGCAGGAAGGCATGTTCGTGTTGAAACTCTTGTTTGGCTTCAGTATGGAGCTGTCGATGGTAACGTGTCGGCTGGAGCAACGCTGGGATAGCAGCAGATACCACAATATACAGACCCTGGAGTGAATACTTATAATTGCTCCCGTAGTACACGTGTAGGTACAATTTTGTGGTATCAGGATTGTACACATCGTATCGCAAATTTCTATACGAAATGCATGTGCTGTAATGAAAGTCACTTTACAATATTACCTTTTTCAAGCAGATAAACAAAGCTCCATAGAAAAACGTTTTGGTATTATGACCTAATTGTAAGGTAGGTCAGAAAGTACGTACTATGAGCACGACGCAAAATGAAGCCATTTTGTTGGTGATTATTGCATGTGTTTTATTGTCTGTTGTTGCGTTATATTTTACAATTACACATACTTCTTTACGTTTTTTTGTTCTGGGTTGTGCTAACTTTAATCCGTCTGCAAAGTGCTGAAATGAGCTACAGTAGCTGCCTAAGACGCCCTAAGTTGTCTTGTAAAATTTCTGCTTAGCTATTACGATGTGCCACATGCTTCACATTTCACTGCGTAGGATTTGCAGTAGAAGTACGTGTGACAATGCACCGTATGTGTTGTTAACTTTTATCGTTAAGTGTTACCTTTTTGCTCCTGCCTGTGCGTACAGGTCTAAGCTCTGGAGAACACGGGCCATAATCGAATGCAGCATATCACCGATCCATCCGTCATTGTCTACAGTTTAACGCTGGTGTAACATCTTGATGAAGTCTACTGTAAACTCGTACGTCTCTGTGTACATGGTGGTCCGGATGATGAGCACGAGATATATTTACAGCAAAAGAGGTAAAATTAATGGGTTAAACCAAAAATTGTGCTCAGTGAGCACTGCTCACTGTCAGTGTGTTGACCATCGTACTGAGCGATCTCAATATGCATTAGCTGTACTTTACGTACGTGCTCATCATTCGGACCGGCTTGCACATCATAAAGGAGTTTTGTCATGGATGTCATATTAACAGAGCGTCCATAACGTTTTTCATGTCACCTGTTATTGCTACAATTCTTATGATTAACGCGCCTATGACATTTCAGCATAAACAAAACTAGATTTGGGTAACTTAATAACTGCGTAGTATCACCGCATTAATTTTGTTTGACAAACAGGTGGTAGCAAAAACGGAAGAAGAAGTTTTACTGTACGAATAAACTAAATAATTGCAAAAGCTCAATCAGAGTCAGCATTGAATGTACCATTGAGACTACCAGTGAAAGTAATAGATTAAAATGGCGGACACGCCGAAATTTATTAGGCGTCTGAAAAACAGGCACCAGGGGCGACAATCACGAGAAACGTCGTTTATTTCGCGCCCTACAGAAGGGACGCTTAAAACCGAAGTGGCGGAAAATTTCAAGCAGAGGTTAAATTGAGATACTATATCACTGTATCTATACGATAGTATGTATCATAGTACTACAGTGGGTCACAATTACAGAAATATTATGGACCTACCGAAAACTGAACCCTGCTGATGGACTGCAAACCCAACATCATTTACTAGTGACGGAACCGAAACAGGATACAATTTCGCACAGGCGTTGGTTAAGGTGTCCAGATTCCATTCAGCACGCTCGCGAACGTCATTGGATTTGGCACGCAGCTGGGCGCAAATAAAATGAAGAAAATCTCCCCTGACAGCAACATGCATTCGGTATGCAACGTAAAAGTTACCCCAAAAATGACCTCCATCTGTGGAAGGGGTCTGCGCGGCTTTGTACAGACAACTACGTATAACATCTAGATCCAGTCTCGTAATCATACTAGCATTCGTTAATGGCACGGTAAATTTGCGATAGTATAGACCGCTGGTTTTGTTGTAAAGAGGTGGTCCATCGGCAGCGGGATCAGATGGAACCGCAATCTGCCACAGGTGGACCACCAAACGCTGTGGCGGTGTTCCATGGTTCAGTTCCACGAAGAAGATACACAATCGCGTCGTGGATGTCAGGAGCCGCGCGGAGCGAAACACATACGGTCCGTTCTCCGAGTTGCGCAGCGCCACCTGCACCGGAAAACTGCCGGTTCTGGTCACTTCGTGGTCGTATTCGCAGTGCCACTGCTGATCGCTTAAAAAGCGTTGTGCCCGGATGTGGCGGGAGTGGATCCAGCTTGCGGGAGCCGTTATGGAATCGAAGTTAATAAACATGCGGTCTTCATCGATATCCTGCACGTATCCCAGCCACCACTCCCCGTTGTCTTGCTGCACCATCACCGTGTTCCCATAATTAATCTCGCGTGCTCCGGATTGCAATCCCCGGAAAGGATTCGCTGTGACGAAATTCATGACGACGGAAGCGCTGACGCGTCTGCTCAAATATAGTGAAACATGTAACCACTTCCAATTCAACGAAATTTACTTGGAAATTTTGAGGGTTCGACACCCGTTGGAGAGCAAATTACTATATCATCAGTTATGGAACGCAACAATGTTATAAGCCGGCTCTGGAGAGCACGACTGCAAATTCGAAGCAGGTCGAAAGTGCATCTATTATACGGTAGCAAGGCTTCTTTTGTGAGCATTTGATGTGGGTTTAAACGACGAGGTCATAATGTTGTACTGCTGTGAAAGCCTGAATGACGCGAAGATGGATGCCGGATGTGCAGTGAGGAACAGAGGCTTCTCAAAATAATTAAGGCCAGCTCTGAGCTGCACTGATGCCGCTTATTTGGTCGAACACGGATACATTACAGATTAAAAACAATAAATCGCAGTAACGAAACCTCTATGATGGTGGATCTAGGAAGAATCCACGGACAGAGACAGAAACGGAATCTATCCTGCAGAGTGAGCAGTGTTGTATACTACGAGCTATGCGGAAACGCAAGACACCCGACAATCAACTGCACACTTTATATCCCATTCACATGACACTACAGATGCTCCCGCAGCAGAATGCTGCGGGGCCAAAAGTACAGCAATTTACTCAGACGACGATGGCTAACAACTGAAGAATCTACATGATCGAAGAGCTGGTAGATGGAGAAAATCACTAGCAAAAAACAGCAAAACAACTTAGCACCCGCACCAGTGCGTGTGTGCGGGGAGGCCACTCCTCCTCACACCTCATTTAACGCTGCCCGCTCCTTCCATTGTTTCGAGTACCGAAGCGGCGACTATCTCCATGGCCTGAGTGTTTCGAAGGCAAGTGGAGAGAGTGGGTTTTTTAACGTTTAAATTTGTATCATTTTAAGTAAAGTCACACGAATGCACTTTTGTCATATTGATGGCCTGTACCATAAAAAATATAAATACATCAGTGGAAAGAAGATGTATTTACCTTCTAGATACGAGCACAGGCGTGTTTTTTTGTCCTCAGCCTGCGCGGCAGCGGATCCCGCTGTGACTGCGGTGGTTTTCAAGCGAGATAGGGCGACAGTGTCAACACAGATCGTGTCCCAAACCAAACCCATACCGCGTTTCCAAACAAGGTAGTGCATCCATCTGGGTGCCGAATGGAGGTGTAAGATGTTCCCCGAGGCTCCAATGTGGCTGGGATGCCGGCTGACACTAAAGATATCCACACGATACTGTTTAAGCCGCCGTGGCGTGGGTGTCTTCCGGCAGAAAAAGAACAGGATAATCCGTGTTGGCCGTACGCATCGACGGGCTTGTGACATCCCGCACATGAGTGCGGCTCTCAGATTGTCACTCATAGTCTCAAGCCAAACGATATCTACACCGTGTCGCCATCTGTAGCTGCACTTAATCACCGCTTTCGGTTTGCACTCTGCGAAGCTTTTGCGGTTGTTGCACACACGCGCACATTACTTTACATATTTCCGTTCTCATGCTATTAAATTTATTAAGAGTACCTCCTCTACTAAGTTGCGGCAGAAAGGTAAAGAGTACTAAAAGTTTGAACAGGAAAGCTACCACTCAGGATTCGCCAGTTTAAGCACCAAGCACACACCCGCACTCTCTCCTCCATTTTAAGTTACAAAGTACAAAATCAGCATTTCCTCTTTGAATTTCAGTACTCGTTCTCTGTCGTAAAAACTCTCCCGACCGATGCTACGATTCCTATCTACTATCTCTCGTGACAGCTCTTTGAAAACATAAAAGCAAAATGATTGTAATGTGAATACGTGATTCATATTATGTGTGTGACTCTTGCCTTTAGCGATTCTGCTGAGCTAATTGTCTAGTTCTTCTACCTACATGCTAGGATGTTGATGTTCTATGTCTAGCTATATAAGTCACAGTATGTTACTGTGATAGACATTCAACTATCTAGTCGATCGACTGAACAATGTACTAGCACGTTTAGCTCTAGTACAACCCTTCGTTACATGATACTACTCGAAAATAAACTAATCAAATGAAATGACGCTTCCGTAGTCCAAGTTTTGCGCAAGCGCGAAACATTTAATTCGCCGTGCAACATCGACTGCAATCAGATATTTCTGCTCTGCCTTCTTTGACCACTTCAGTAGCTGGACCGCGCTCGAACGGCACCGGACCAGATGCGTAAGCAAGCATTTCGGCATTCCCCACCCAGCTATATGGCATTCAGTTGATTGCCGTGTTGGTGGACGGGGTATGAAGAAATGCGGATGATCTAGATTTGACGGGATGAACCAACCATGTGTTTTGCTACTTCGCTCGCTACAGTGGGATACCGCATCTGAAAAAGCACAGCCGTATTTTGCGATTGCTTTATTCGGCTAGTTGGCTCGAAAACGGCTCGGTTTACATTTTCAGTATAAATATCAATATGGATTTCCATATTTCTATCTACTGTTCCCCTATCGGGATATCTAACCTGTCCGATGGAGCGGTCAGCCAGCTTAGCTGCTCTGCTGTTTAATAATAATAATAATATTAAAACAATATCCCATGTTTTCTTAAGTTTGTTTCCCTACGGTTTTTAATATTTTTTTTGCTTTCTCATGATGGGTTGTGGTAAATATTCGGAAGAACTATCCGCACGTACCCCGGTCACGCTGTATTTGGATGTGTTTCTGACAATCTTTGGAACAAGCCTGTTTTCGCCGGCCCAACTGAAATTTTCTCATGGGTTATTATTACGGGGAAATATTGTACGGTGAATCGTTAGCAGATGGCAGTTACTCTAGATGCCATCTGCTAGTGAAATTCAGGAAAGCTGCTGGCGAAATTATTTATTCCGATGAGAGACCGATTGGCACGCCGGAAATTGAGCTTTATCAGCTCACGCGGACAATCGTGCGATGAACGATCTTAAATTAGCAGAAAAAGACAGAGAAAGCAAGGTACAAGTAAGAACATACGGAGTACATATAATTATTGTAGCATTCGCGCGGATAATACGATCGGCAATACTCTTATATTGCCCATTTCCCACAAAGAGCAGTGGGTTATATTTTAGGAAGACATCTGCAGTCAGTTAGTTAACTAATTATCTTGTTAATGCGGAAGTATTACTTAATTCTCATCCCACCACTTAAGCATACGCAAATTTCGAGTTTCTTGAAAATTTGTCAATATTATGAAAGCGTGGTACAAAAAAAATTTTTTTAGCTGATTTTCATAGTGCCGATGCGTACACGAAATGGTACACCTTTTATGTACACCATGTAGAATCTTACAATGCACGTTATTTAACCAGAAAATCTACACTTATGGACTGCTCATCGGGCAAATTCGCCTGCTTTTCGCCATCCCCCAGCCAGCGTACTGCAGTCGACTGATTGCATTTTTTGGATAAGGTATGAAGAGACTGCGGGCGATCGAATAGGTTGGAGCACGATAGCGGAACATACATAATTAATGATGTGGTCCCAGTGAATTTGGTGTATCCGGTTCATGCAGCAGGGACATGGCAGTTCCCGGACACTTTTCTCTGTTTTAGTTTGTGAACAACGTGCACTGGATGGACTTTGTTCCTGTCCATAACAAAACTCGAAACATTGTATATCTTTTCAAAGCGTACATACGCATACACATAAGCGCCTTTTTTTGCGACACACGTTTCCGAACATAAATTTGCCAAGTACTGTGCATCCGAAACTTTTAATCAGCAATTTGAAAACACATGGAGAAAATTAGGCTTGATTAATCGTTATTAACAATTATTTATACATGCAGTTATCGTCAGTACAGGACGCGTGTGCTATTCCATATCAGATTGTCATGTATTGTCATGTGTAGGAATCGTATCTTTATTGTATCGTAATGGTCAGGAAAACAACTGAAAGGAAACTGAGGAATCGTAACTAGAGAACCGGGAAAACACAAGAGAAGTTGCTAAGAAGACAAGGACAAAGGACAGAAATAGGAAAGTATTAGAAGGACAATAAACACGTGAACTCAGTATACTACATTCCCTTCCCTCGCCCAAAAAGAGCTGGGTTGAACCATTGCATCAGAACCATATATTTAGCAGCATACAAACCATAGAACCATAGCAACAAGAACCACGGCAACAGAACCATATAGTTAGTGAACTCTGAACCACTGAGACGAAGCGTCGTAGGAACCGGAACTGGAATCACAGTATGTCGTATGGAGGACGCGGTGCGTAATCCGTAATGTAGTTATTCGTAGCGACGTCGGATTTCTTCTGTGAGCGGCATGCCTTTGCTATATGACCTTTCTTCCCACAGTTATGGCATACGTGTTTCCTGTAGAAACAGCGCTCGCGCATGTGATCGGTTGATCCACAGGAATCGCATCTTCGCTTAGGGGAACTGGAATCGGAATCGGACTCGTTTTGATTGCTGGTGGGTGGCTTGTGGCTTCCATTTGCACTGGATTGACCACTGGAATTGGATGTCTTTGCTTGACAACCGTTGACCTTCTGCTAGCTGTGACTTTCATCACAGTTTCACGGTCTTGGCTGGACGTACTGGCCGTAGCTTCTTCAATGCCGGTTTCCATCTTCCTGGCGGCGTTCAGGGTCTCTTCGTGGGTCTGGTATTCGTTTATCAGTAGGTGACGGCGGACGGAATCCGACTGGATGCCGTTTATGAAGACGGCGCTGAGCATCGGGTCGATGATGTCAGCGGGAAACTTGCATACGGTACTCCTGTACCGTAACCTGCTGGAGTATGCCGCCAGCGATTCGTCCTTCCCTTGGACAGTTCGGAACAGGTGTGCCCACTCCGCGACCTTGAATGTGTACTTGTTGTACACTGTATCCAATTTGGCCAGCAGCATTTCTATGGTGAGTTTCTTGTCCGTGATGGCAGTCGGCCTGCACATCGAGACAAGCATCTCGAATGGCTTGACCTCCAGCGAGTTCAGAAGCAGCCCTTTCTGCTTCTCCACGGGGATGTCGGCGAATTCGATATAGCTGTGGAGGTTTTCTTTCCACATATCCCACTGCATCGACTCGGGATTAAACCGTAGGATGGGATGAGTTTCTGGTGTCGCCATATTCGAACGAATTAAGAAGCGAACTAGCGCTGTTAAGCCGTATATAAAGAACTCGTACACTTCAATGATAGAGATCTACAGTATTACACAAGCTTCACGCCATTGTCATGTATTGTCATGTGTAGGAATCGTATCTTTATTGTATCGTAATGGTCAGGAAAACAACTGAAAGGAAACTGAGGAATCGTAACTAGAGAACCGGGAAAACACAAGAGAAGTTGCTAAGAAGACAAGGACAAAGGACAGAAATAGGAAAGTATTAGAAGGACAATAAACACGTGAACTCAGTATACTACACTATTCCATATCAGATTTCCATAAGCACCAGATGTTGCGGTAAATCGCGGTCAAAGCACAATAAACCAGGATAAAACGGCTGCAACTGAAAGCTTGGACAGAGTGGTCACATCCAGCTCCCTCAGATCAGCATCCGCCCAACTGCGCTCACTGCCATCTGGCCAGAAACCACAGTACCTACAAAATTACGATAACACACATCATTACGATAAAACAACATCCCTTAATTTTAAACCTACAGTTGAAGGAAGCTTCGAATCGAATGCCACTGCTCGGGATAGTCCAGATTGTCAATCCACCCTCGATGGATGGAGCGTACCTGGTTGTACACTATTGCATCAACCGGAGGATAGTACTTATCCGCCGCTAGTAAAAACTTACGCAGCATACCGGCATCACCATCTTCGGCATGCAGCGTTAGGCGCTGGATCGTAACTGGATGCATGCAGTTATCTGAAATCCGTTGAAGACCAGCTTCCTGCTTCCTTCCATGGAAATCCATCGGAAAACAGATCATGCAGATTGCATGCTGCTAATATTCTGCACCGTATAATTCTGCAGAACCAGATGCTGGCAAACCGTGATGAGTTTGGTTAAATTGTTGCATTTCCAAGGACGGTTATTAGGTTCTTCCTCATCACCATCACCGTCATCATCATCATCTGATTCCGACAAATCGTACAGCAGATCATAATCATTCGTAATACCATCTTGTGCGAAGCCATCTTTGATGACTATCAAGTGCAGCTGAATCATCTTGGCGGTCAGCAAGGTTACCAACACTTTGGTGACGACATACAGATATATCGCGAAGTCTGAGCTGCACTGAAGATCGCCAATCAGCGTAACGCTTTTGGTTGCATTGGTAATCGCCGTGTTTACGGCCCAGCAAAATTTGTACATATCGTGCCAGGAAGGCAAATGCGTGTTGAAGTATTTGTTCGGCTTTAGTACTGAGATATCGATGTTAATGTGTCGGCTGGAGCAACGGTCGGATAACAGCAAATACCACAGCGTGCAGACCCTAAATCGGTAATATACACTGTTTAATAATAATTATTCATGTACAAGCCCATTTGGAAACAAGAGCTTAAAGTGTGAACGGGGAATTTTTACGAGGGGACGTGTACGTACATTCAAGATGTGCATGTATGCCTGCGTTTGTTCCCTGTATTCACAACATATCGCTAGGGATATTGTTTCCGGATGGGCTGTATACGAAGGATGACGGTAGCGCATTTCAGCACTCCCTTCAGTTTGACGTTGTGGCTATACTGCGTTGTGACTATATGGTGCTTATGTACCGCGCGAGAATTAGCGTAACGTCACACGAGCGACTTTTACGAGCCCTGGCATAAAGCTTAGCGTGAACCCATGAATCTCTATTTCACGCTACCTGTTATACGCCGGAAATACGAGTAAATCACCGAAGCTAGTAAACGCAACTTACTTCTTGCAAAGCAAGATAGCTTAGAAAAAATATTCGGTGTGTTGCGACCTACCTGTGAGGTACGTCTAAACAACACACACTACAATTTACTACTGTGTAAAGTGTCCAATAAAGTGTTTACTAACTGAGTGAGTGTCGTATTGCGAGAACCGTTAACTGGTTGTTGTTACCTTTTTGCCTTTGCTTGAGTATGCAGGTCTAAAACCTGGAGAACCTGTGTCATAATCGAAGGCAAAATGTCCCCGATCCATCCGTTATTATCTATAATTTAACGCTGCGTCATTCCCGTTTTTCAATATTTCAAGTGATTGTACAAAATATACGATATACTAAATATATGATGCAAAATATACGGTATGATACTACTCGACCGATACTGATACTGTTCTATGTACAATACCAGAAATAGAACATACCGCAAATTAAGCCCGGGAGAGAAGTCACACCAAGTAGCATTCCTTGCTACCTTTCGGGACGCGTACTAAAATTCAGCATGATAATGCTGCGAGTATTTTAACTTCTCACATACAAAATGTTACCGAGAAATGACGGTTTATCTTGTATATTTCAGAACAGCTTGGACTCATCCATGAATTCTACACACCCGTATCTCAAGTGATTAATTTTACAACTTAATGGAGATTCTTTCCGCTTTCGGCTATTTTACATTCGTCACCTCTGCACTCTGCAGTAGTGAAGTGCCAATGCAGTTGTTTTTTGTGTATATGTAGCTGTGTATTGATTGAGGCTTACCTATATCGTATTATCGATATTCATTACAAATTGCCAATTGCCAATATGCTGAGATTACGTCATATTGTATATTATTACATTTTGAGCAGCCAGTGGACAGGTTTATTTCCAAATGTTTGGTTCTACATTGTACACGAAGTTATTTAAATCGGTACTATTAAGTGCGAGGAAACACTTTCAAATGCTGCATTGCTTTCTTTGGCAAGGTTTCACCAAGCGGTAGCGGCAACCATATCCCGCCATAATATACAGACCGCAGAGATACTTCCGCTTTCTCCCGCGCTTGACTCCAGAGTTATTATGTCCCATCTGCCCCTTCTTCTATGTCCCTCTCATTGCTGCAGGCATCTGTGCTTCCTCTGGAACTGCATTGTTATTGTACCCGCTCCTTTCGACGTGTTGTTGTTCGTTAAGAAAAGCTACCATGGTAGCAACTTTGCTTGCACGCACGAAAAGCTTAACAATCGCTCACTCCCATGCATTTTTTCCATTGCTTCATGATATTCTGTAGCCGAATGGTTTCTGATTCCTATATATTGGCGTGAAAACCGTATGTGAGCGCAGTGTTTGGTTGGGCTTTATACATGTAGCTGCAAATCATTTTCGCTTCACTGTTTTGCGAAAGAAGTACTCAGCTTCACGATCAGTTTTTCTAGTGCGCTGCATCCTGTATGGTGACAGCTTATGGAACTCAATAGTTCCATTTCCAGCGTTTTATTCAGACAATATTTACTGTCATTTTTGTGTGCTTTATTCGGCAGTAAATTCTCGGCAACTGTGGTATTATTTCATGCGGTGGTTGAAATGATTTTATCATTTATGCAACGTGCAGACCTTGTACCAACAATTTTAACAATAATGGCGGTTAAGCAATAATGGCGGTTAAGCAATAATGGCGGTTTTGTTAAAATAATGGCAATTTTAACATTATTGACGTATTTAATTTAGTTACGATATAATCGACAACCAGAATGGTACACTAGCACAGATGTTGTACGAACATCGAGTAACAGACATGCTCTGTACAGACAATATTGGTATACTGTATTGATTTTCTGCAATCTCACGCTTGATATATTTCAGGTAAAGCAGTTTTAATTTTACCTCTTGTACATCCTTCGTTAGGCTGATTCATCGGTAGTACAAGTACGATGTGATGCTCGTACTGCACAGCCACGAAATGTGACATGTTCCTGTCTTTTTCTAGTTACAAAACGGCAGTGACATATGTATTCCATCATAAAATAAAGTATACTGTAATTGCACTTAATTGCACGCTTGAACTTCCTGGACGCTGAACTTGGGTGATCTCGTACAGCAGATGATACTGCAGTCGGGAAAGGCACGCATTTTGACAGTATTTATTGCAGCGCTTCGGTATTGAAATCAACTGGCAGAGCAATTCTTCTGGGCAGGTTTAAATGTCACCAAGAATTAGAAGGATAGTGCCATGCCCTTGACGCTGGTTGTACACAAGGTACTATGAACACGCACCTTACGTACCACTTACATATTGATTGTCTGGTTACTTCATGGTAACTCTTCCGCTTGCTCTATATTTTCCAAATATCAATTCTTTCTTTACACTAAGTGGGAATATTTCGGAGGTTGGCTTTGTACGAGTAGGATTAATTTTATTTTATTGCCATCCGTTAAACTTACGCGATGAAACAAGAGTCTGGCACCGCAGCATCTCCGACTGATGTACAAGAACAGGACGTTATCATTCGCCTGTTTAGTCAGGAGAAATTGCAGTATGACGGTTCTCTTACCAAGAAAATCCGCAAAGATGCAATACTCATCAACTGCTTTACTGTCGTCAGCATAATCCTCTTTGCAGCAAGAGTCTGGCTGTTTAATGCAACTTCCACGCTAAGCGACGATGATTATTTATTGTTGGATACTTCGCTTACTGCCTTATATGGGCTCCCCTTACATTACTCTCCCTTATCTGGGCTCCCGGCTAGTGAGCAATACCCGTCAAATTATTTATCGGGTTTATAGCAGAACCCTTTTCTACTTCTTTCAACCGGATTTACAAGTGAGCACACCAAAGAATTCCGAAATTTCACATCCGAATTACAATTATATAATTATATTATCTATATACATTTTTCATTAAAAAGTGCCACAAACGTTGATACAAACTCAATGCTACAAAAGTACTGGCGAAATAAGTATTTTACGTAAATCTAAATTTTCGTTCAGTCATAACACTGATAACAGCTGCAAAACTGTGAGTGATAACGTAACCGCCGATGTAGAGGGTTGCTCATATTGCTCGGGAGCCCAGATAAGGGAGAGTAATATAAGGGGAGCCCATATAAGGCAGTAAGCGAAGTATGGATCATATGGTAGGTTCGGCGAGCATTGAAAAAGCCGGCGCAAGCTGTTTTTTTTAGTCAATATATAATTATATTCTGATGTATAATACGGACGATGCTACTGCAACGTAAGTTTAGGCTTCCCAAGTTTTTATTAGACTACCTTCTGTTTTCTT